TATACTCTGTATATATCGGAACTACACGGATGCTCTTGTCGCGGTGCCATGTGAAGCTAGTGACGAGACACGAATTCACTGACACATGCGCGAATCTGTTTACTCAAGCCCCATGCTTGAGGCCGAGCAGCACACATTTGGGAGCGCTTCTCCGTGCAGTTGGAGGAGTGCGATGGTTTCAGACTCACGACCGATTGGGCTTTCACGTGTATCATCCTTTTCCTTTCGTGGTCGTGGGTTCCGTAGGAATGAGTATCCGGGTGTGCCAGATTTTGAGGGGGCTTTGGCTCAGGCTTTCGCTTGTCTACTTGACGTGTGACAGCCGATTCAGTGGAGGACATGCTGAGCTCGGCAGTGGTGGCCCTCTGGAGCCAGTCTAGAGCCAAGCTTGAGAGGTTGTTTTGAACGAAGGTGGACTCCCAATCCAGGCCTGAGTATACAGAGTTGAAGTTTCGAGTGTGGAGCTGCAACATGTATAAATAGTGTGGCGCTTGAGGCAGCAAGATGGGTCCAAGCGGAAGCTTCGTGAGAAGCCAAAGGAAAAGCCGCGCGAAGAGCCTGCACAGCCCGAGACAGAGGCCGGCGTGTATGGTTTGTTGTTTGAGCAACCAAGGCGGGGCCGTGTTCATATGAAGTATGTCAAGGGGCATATGTTGAATGAAAGATGTTCAGCCAAACGTGGCTCTTCTGGGAAGTGTCACTTTACACGATAAGTGATCAAAGACCAAGGGTCAGTTGGGCCAAGTTAGCACTTCGTTTAACGTTTCCCAATATATGTTTGCGTTGATCAGGTTCAAAACAATCGCAAGCTCGCGATTTGCATGAACATCAATAAAGAATGGGCAACCATTTTTGGTGGTCAGTGTCAGAACATGTTTGAACGTAAGGAACATGGTTTCAGCATGATGCAGCTACGACGAAGTATATACTCAGTTCCAAGTTCTTCGGAGGTGGATCGAGATTTGAAGATTTCACAAGCCGAACGCCCATGGGTTGAGTTGGAACGTCAGGAAGCCTTTGAGTTCGAGTTTGTGGATGAGGACGAAGCTGCAGAAGCGAACAAAGCGGAGGACAGCGAGACGGAGCCGCCCACTGAACCGTCGGATCCCTAGAAAGCAGTTTGTGGTACGGATGAGGCAGCGCTTGCAGACATAGATCGTATTGAAGCATCAATTTCCAGAATTACATACCTCAAGGCCCAAGGTTTTCCCCCAAAGTAGTGCGCGAAGACAACTCCTTTGCCTCAGGCCCAGTGAGGGTGAGGAGTGTGACGAGGACTGGGTCTTCTTTCCAAAAACACATCGATTGCAGAGGCCAACATAGGGGAACATCCAAATGGATGGTTGTCATGGATTCTTTCATTTCAAGAGCACTTTGGAGGTGCCACATGCTTTTTCATGTTTCAAGGCATTTTTCGCCTTCAATCAGCCCCCGTTTAAAAGGCCTAAACACAATCCTTTCCTTCATTTTCCTTCCTTCTTCATCGGGTCTCGGCTGTCAGGACCGATCCAAAGTGACGGTCTTGTTGGAGCCTTGAGCTTCAGTGGCAATGTGAAGCTTGGAGAATTCCGCTACTAGGAACATGTGCATTACTACTAGTAGCAAATAGCTACTAAACTAGTAGCTTCTTGCTAGTAGGAATGCACATGTTCCTAGTAGCGATGCCCTTGTTACTAGTAGCTTGGAGAATTCCACCGCGAGGCTTCGAAACTTCCCCCTGTCATGGCTAGCCGATGAGGCTCAAGTCTTTTGATTTTGAAGCCACAGTTGCCAACATCCCTGGGTGATATGATGATGTATAATAGAGAAGGGAAATGTGTGACGACGGCAGGTGTTGCAGTAGGCAGTGCTGCTTTAGTATTTTTCAAAGCGCTGTAGGTGCTGCCGCAGCTCGGAGCAAGGATTTCAGCCTTGCTCAATAAGAGCTTCTGGCATTCTTTGCAGACTATGATACATTCAATTTGCAGATATTCCTGAGAAATGCGGTGTCATGTCCCGGGATCCTTGCGTTCTTGCTTTGTTGCGTCAAATTCAACGGCATGGCATGCCACTCTTTGACTTGGCCAGGTTTGGGCCACTCGCCAGCAAGCCCAAATTGCTGGATGGTCATCCGCGCCCAGTTACATGGTCAAAGTTACATGGTCAATGGTCAAAGGCTTGAGTATGCTTGAGTCTATATATTATATATATGTATATCTTGGTAAACTGCAGGCGCTGCTGCTACAGCTTCGATTGGACATGTCATTGACGTGTTTCCAAACGCGTTGGATGGCCTTTGCTCCGCCAAGATGACAGGTGCCATGAGCACATTGGGGTTGGTGGCCACTGTGGCCTTCAAGGCGATGTGGGGAAGAATGTGGGGGTTGGCACCGCACCATGTCATGTGACTGGTTGCTTCTGTCCATCAGACCCTGTTGCTCTTGGACAATTGGATAGTGAGTTTTGCGGGGGAGTTGGAGCACTAGGTGCGCCTACGGAACTGTTCTCAGGAGGAGAAAGATGCCGAGAAGGCAATTCAAGCGCTGGATGGTCTGGATTGGAGGAGTCGGCTGCTCGAAGATAGCCTTGCGAGTTTGTTGCTGATGTGTTGTAGCCACAGGCCCGGAAGAGGTGAACGGTGGACACCCTGCTGCTGCCAAAGCCCAAGATCCGAATCAATCTGTCTCGAGCACTTGAGAAATAAATATATAGTTAAGTTTCCCTAATAGTCTTGGAACCAGATGAATAGTGCGAAGCTATTAGTGGCTTCCTGGATCCTAGGTCGACCCCCTCACAGCCTACCCCCCAAAAGGAACATTTTTTGGTTTTGGAAGCTTCTAGATGGTCGTAGTCGGGGGCCGACCCCAAAAGTGGATTTTGGCAAATCCTCTCGAAGTGCATATATACAACTCACTTGGGGTCGTTTGGAAACAATGTATATTACTATCTAGCAGGTTGTTTCTGTACAGCACTTAAGGACATCTGATGGAATCTATCTGACACTCAGGCCCATGAGCACTTTCGAGCTGAGATTGTCAACCCCGAGGAGGCCGAACTCGCTTTTTCGCTCCGGTTGTGTTGCCTCCTGACGGGAGAGACCTGACCCGCAGGTGGCTGTCAGGCTTGCTCAACTCATAGCAGCTCCACCAGGATCGGAGTGACCTGGTCATCATTTGGGCTAGCAAATAGATATAGCTACTACTAGCTTCTTGCTACCAGTAGGAATGGCCTCCACCCTAGGCCCTAGTAGCCATGGCCTCCACCTAGTAGCGTCCTTGCTAGCCTTAGCCTGTGGCAGGACTTCCCAGCTTCGGTGGATTGCCAAGTGAAGGCGAATGGAATCTCACGGTTTTCGTTGGTATTGCAGTTCCAGGTCTTTCATGTCATCCCTCCAACCTGGCAGGTGCGGTTGCAGCACAAGCCTTTCTCAGCGCAGAGGTGTTGCACTTGGACTTGAGTTACAATGATAAATTCAAGCCCAACCTTCGTGGACTTAGGTTGATCCCAATTTTCAAGGACGATGAAGTGGCAGATGTGATTCCCTGATTCCTCTTCCTTGGCTGTGGCCACAGGAGAAAAACCGAAAAAAGAAAGACTCTTGGATTGCAATGGACGGAGGAAGCGAATCCAGCAACTCGCTGAGAGTGTGAAGTTTCTCCTGAGTTGCTGAGCTCTGCAGGGCCAAAGATTAAGCTGCAACAAACAGGTCGCAATCTTCGTTTAGAACTCAGATTAGTGTAGCAGCGACTTCCAGTGGTTGAACCATCCTGATCATAAACCACTCACTTGGGATGGAACCAGATGGTTCTTGAGGCTGGGAAAGATCCAGCAGTGACGTGGGGCGCCCCATGTGATTGTTTCGGAGCCCATTCTTCGCACAACACTCGGCTGAGCAAGGAAGAGCCACAGACCACCTGGGACACTTGGAGCGTAAAGACCCCAGCCGAACATAGCAAACCTCAGACGTTAGGACCTGCTTCGTGTGCACAAACCGAGGCTCCAGCACCCCCGGTGGCAGAAGTGGTTGAGGTGAGGACTCATGTGGGTTGGTGAGTCTGGTATATATCATGTTGTTCGTTTCATGTTGAGACAACCTTTTTCTTGGAGCTGATGTGGTTTGTGCATGTGGCAATCTGTGGTCTTTAGGCAGTTCCTTGTTTTGTGGATCCCACTTGCCAACGGCCGTATTTTCGTTGAACATACCTGTGATGGATCCAGGTTGACCGGTGTTTAGGAACGTGTCCTTGTGATCCTGGACTAGATGGACAATCGAAACAGCACCCAATGTGGTCATTTTGGTAGAATGTTCATGAATGTTCCATATACTGTGTATGGCAGGTCGCCCCCGAGATGCGTGAGCTGGATCCCAGCGACACGCATTTGGTGATTCGCGGAGTGCCACAAACTCAGACCATCCGACCATCCATTCTGTCGCTACTAGGAACAAGGGCATCATTACTACTAGTAGCAAGAAGCTACTGGCAACGAGGGCAGCGCTACTAGGAACATAGCTACTAATAGCGATGCACCTGTTCCTAATGAATAGCGATGCCCTTGTTACTAGACCGGAGCAAGAGGGGCGGTGGCCCCATTAGACTGATGGATGGAGTAGTGAGGGTTTTGCCTGTGTGTAGCCCTCAACCCGGTTAACCACCAACAAGCGCAACATGCAATCTTGAAAGGCATGGACCAGGGCTTCCCCCCGTCCAGGGGTTCAAGTCCTGCCTAGTCCGTAGCCAACCACACCCTCTAAAATTCGCAATACCCTTTGCAAGTTAGAGAGGAGAACTTAGTTCCTTTCTGGGTGCTAGCTCCAGACGATGCATTACAATATAAAAATTCTCCACAAGTTCGTTCGTTGCGTGGTGCGCCCATGGTTGGCAAAACTGTGGATGCTGCAGGCATGCGTGCACGGACTAATGTGGAAGTGAAACTAAGCGTTGGGCAGCGCGTGTCACGTGTAGGTTTGAACATAATTCAAACAAGATGGAGCCGGAGTCGCACGGACATCTTCCGAATCAATGCTTGTCCAAGCCCGGCTACCTTTGGCCCTGTCTCCAATTTTTTTACATGTTTTACATATTTTCTCCTTCATGGTGGGAAGGAGCAAATTTGACATCAGCCAGCCATCCATCATATCTGTTCACATGACAGGTGATTCTGACAGGTGCCAAAGCGTTTGGTCCGAACATCCCTTTTGCGACTCCGTTGTCATGGCCAAGCGCCCACGACCACCTGTGCGGGATGGCCTTCGTGATGCAGTGCCGGAGCTGCTCGCGGCGGGCCACGTCCGGGCCGCCGGCGAGCTCTGCAGGGAGGCCTTGGCGGAGGGAACAGAGGACACTCGGGATCCAAGTGAGTTGAGCTATCAAGAGCCACTGGTGGGCAAGGATCCAAAGGAGTCTCATTATGTTTTGCAAAAAAGCACTGAAACTGGGGATGGCTTTTTCATTTGCATCAGGACGTCAACTCCAGTGGGGAAGTTTGGTACCTGCTGGGCGTGGTGCATGACATTGCACACGAGCATGAAGAGATGGTTCTTTGCATGCGCAAGGTGAGGGGTCAAAGACGTGAGACCAACTTTCCATGCAGAAGTTGGTATGGAAACCAAATCAGTGGCGCGATTGGGTTCTGTGCTGTTTTCGAAGACTAGCGGCCTAGCAGCCTAGCGTGCGATTCCACGTTTCGGATGAGCCAGGCTTTGAGCTGTCGGGAACGACCTGAGATTTGGCCCTATTTAGCAGAATCTTGGAATGCATCGAACAACAAGAACGCTGCTAGTGACGGTCGTCTACGAAGAGAGCCTTCGTAGACATTTGTAAGCTATACCTTCTCATAAAAGGACATCTCCCGTTGGCAAGTGTGAGGGGCATGTCAATGTAGCCGTTGAGTCCTTTGTGTCGCTGAGTGTCATTGCTCTGACCAGGACTATGCCACTAGAAGTGGGGCTTCTTGGCTTAAGATCTTGTTGTATGAGTTGGTATGTAGCAGCCACTCTTGATTACTACAAATATCTAGAAACCTGGTTTGGGGGACCGGGAAGGATAATCCTTTTCGACGACTTGAGACGCGGGCTTACACTGTGTAGTCTGGTGATCGTGGCTCCACGGAGTATGGTCATTCAGCCACTAGGGGCTCCGGCATCGCTACTAGGAAGGACGCTACTAGGGGCTCCTGGCCTTACCACTAGGAGCAAGGACACTACTAGGGGCTCCTGGCATCGCTTTCAGCTTCAGGATTTTGACGCTGCTTTCCTCGCTTTTGAACGCTTGCAGCAGCTGGTTCCGTGCAGTTCTTAGTCACAGGGAGTGAGAAGCGCCAGCTCACGGGTTTGAAAAAGGGATTGAAAGAAGGTTTCAGGGCGGACCCAAGAAGGACAATTTAAGATTATTCATGTAAGTACAGTGTAAGTACAGTGACTACTAGGTTTGGTCCCATTCTGCGTTTGAACCTGTTGCCCCCCACAGATCCGACAGCAAGAGCGGAGAATTGGCAGTTCGAGGCCCCCCTTTGTTCAAGGATACTGGTCACCCACATCAACCAGATCTTCAATGATTGTATTCAGGAACCCATATCTTCTCTTCTGCTTCGCCACTTCTTCACGGCCTGCTTTTTCTTGCGTGACCAAGTCACCTAAGGAGCGGTGTGCTTGGCCTCCAGGCAGCGTCCGATGCTCGGCTGTTGGCCCGAACGCTGCGTTGCCGCATGCTGAAGCGAAGCTGCTGGGCAGAGGTAGGACAGTCGGGAGTCCAAAACGTCTGAAAGGTCCCAAGGAATTGGGTGGAATTGGTACAAACCTTCCAAACGGGTAGAAACCTTCCTTAGAAATCTTCTCATTGTTGAATCTTCCAATGCTTAACTATGCAGCATTTCTGCCTTTTCGTTCATAAAGCCTGCAAAAAGCAGACACTTTGCACACTTGAAGGATCCGCTTGTAGCATCCTGTAGCGTATAGCGGTTTCAAAACAGATGGGTGCATGATTTCCACCAGGCCTTTTTCGGATTTTGTTATTGATTTGCTGGGATGGAGTGTGAGACGCAACCTTGAGGTGGCCCACGAGCTGACTGCAAGTGGTTTGCATGGGGCAGGCACAGATGATTCGCTGAAGGAGGCATCTGCAAAAGCTTGGCGAAGCTCATCGGCGCTTCCAGGCGACCCAAAACCACCCGTGGAACAATTCGAAGAGATGTTGATAAGTGGTCTTGCAGAACCATGTAGCGCAAGAAAGCCGAAACGCAAGCCGCGAAAGTGCTGCGAAAGTAGGAAGTTCACCGCTGAATTCAAGTTCAGGGCACGCTCCTGCAAGGTGTCCAAGATTTTCAGTGGCAATGGCGTGGGGCATGTCAGGGCAAAGAAGAGTGTGGTCAAGAAGGGTGACTTGGCAAACAACCGCAAACCCCAATCATGACACACGCACGTCACTTCACGACAGAGACTGCCCGCACCTTACTCAGTGTATTTGAGATGGGCATCCAACCATCCAATTTGTTAAAGGAGAATTCGCGATATACACTTCCCTAAAGACAACCATGATGCAAGAAATGCTGCAACGTTTTTCACATTTCTTGCATCACCAACCAACCAATCTAATATGTTCAAAGAGGCGTATCCTGATTCATTGCGATTTCCCTTTCAACAGAACAAGCAGAGGATTCTATGCACCCTAGCTAAAACCATTCGGCTGGATGAAAGACTTCAGCACCTGCTGGCGCACAGCAACGCAATCCAGACAAGGCCGGACAAATCGAAAGCTGAGAATCGGCCAAGCAAAGAGATGATGGGGATGGCTGATTTCGCAGAGAAACATCGACATCATGGTGAAGATCATGGTTTTGATCGATCCATTTCATCGGTGTTTGTTTGGGACAACGTCTTCGGTCCAGCGCTTTTGCGGGCGCTCCAGCAGTGTGCCGATGACTTCGCTATTTGGAGAGCCAAAAGCCCGCAACGCCTGTTGGGGTTTTGGCTTCCCAGCGACTCAACTCCAAGGACGGTGTCAAGTCAGGGTTGTTGCTCTTAAACTCGTCATGAGTCATAAGGGGTATTTATATAGAGGTATTTGGTTCACCCCAAGATTTCCGTAAGACCCAAGACCTTGATGTTGTGAATTGGAACGAAATGACTGGAGGCAGCAGGCCTGAGGAGAGGTAGGAAAACCACGGAAAACCCTCTCAAGGACAGCCCCAGAGGTGGCAGCAAGGAAGCTACAGACATTGCTAGGAGCGCAGGATTGGGACATTGAATGGTGGTGTCGAACTCAAGCACCAAGCCTTGGTGCCCACTTTCACTATGACACTCATCCATTCCTGAATGAAGCGTATAGCGACCTCCGCCCAGAGTTCACTTCTGTACTGTTTCTGAGTGATGTGGGGGGTCCCACAGTGGTCCTCAATCAGCAAGCGCAATCCGGCAGACACAATCCTGTCCTGCCCCAGCATGGCTGCGCTGCGTCAAGCAAGGTGAATCGATGCTTCGCATTTCCAGGACAGTTGCGGCATGGTGCGGTCGCTTTGCCAAACTGTAGTGAGGAAGTGCGTAGTGGCCAGAAGCGCTCAGTCGTTCTTTACAACTTTTGGCCGAAGGGTACTCCGCGGACTTCAGAATGTGTACAACCCGACTTTTCGAATTATACACCCATTTGCAGTTGGGCTCCAACTGCTCGACATTTGCTTTGTGAGACTTGTCTCCAACGGCTTCAAGAGGAACCATGCACGGCCCAAAGGGTGGAGCTCATGGATTTGACCCAGCCTGAGGACATGGATCATTCGGTGCCCATGGAGGAACCACCTGACTGGCTTCCCGTTTGCGGTCCGAATCTCTTGAAGACGCACGGTGCCGTTCACTTCCAGTGGCGATTGGCGGCGAATTTGTACCTCGCTGGTAAAAAGGGGGCGCGCTTGCACGGCTTGCTGTTTCATGTTTGCTGGACCTGGATCACAGAACAGGGCTGTTCCCTGTTACCCATCCAGGAATGGTCATGCAAGAACATGCAAGACACAAAGTGAAGGTCAAAGTATTTGAGCCTTCCGTCAAGGCCTTGGGACTGGAGTGCGCTGCAATTGCAGATGCTCTTCACTCCTTTTGGCGGAGTCCAGGTGCCTTGGGGCTACCTTGTGTTTTTGCTGCCCTGCAATGTCCGACATTGAGCCCGTTAGTTTGTTTGATGCCTTGAAGTGGGAGGCCATGCAGCCGTTTGCCAGCAATGATCAGGGCGAGCGTCACTGCCTGAATGAATTCATTCGTTGCAACTCTATGGAATTGTTGTCGTGAAGGTGCAGGTCTTGTTACTAGTAGCGTCCTTGCTCCTAGTAGTACGGCCAGGAGCCCCTAGTAACTTCTTGTTCCTAGTAGCAAGGCCAGGAGCCCCTAGTAGCGTCCTTGCTCCTAGTAGGTGGTTTTTGTGCTTTGCATCAGCATCATTATGAATTACAGTATGCCTTCTGAGGTATCGTGAGGGTACGGCTTGAAGATTTGGCGCAACACTCTCAAGCGGCAGCGCTGGGCCCGGTCCATCCTCTCTCTGAAGTTAAGCTCAAGTCTTTTTAACATCCCAGAACATCCCGAGTGCTTTGAGTGCTTTGGTGCACTATATTAAATATTGGAGTTCTTTTTTTGTGTCCTGTTCAAGGCGCATTTCCAACAAAATCCAAGCGACGGGGTCACATTGGAGTGCGAGTGCAGCTGACTTGTTTGCGACCTCACAAGATGTTCTGACTCACCTTGACAAGATGACTCTTTCAGTTTTGGAAATGATCTGAGATCTGCTCTCAAGTGCAGGCATTTTCTTGGACCCAAGGAGCAGGAGATTCTGGCGCAAGCAGCCGAGGCACGCCGCTGTGCCTTGCTGTGGCGACGATTGCTGGGGTTGTCAGGCTGAACGTAAGAGGAAGGCGGAAGCAGAGGAGGCAGAGAGGCAGCGACAAGCCACAACCCCAGAACCAAAGCATCATGTGATGGCCTGCCAAGTTTGATTTCGTTGTGCTGTCGTCGACTTCTGAAAGTGCTCTTGAAACTGTTGTCCAAGGCTGTGATTGCGGAGGCTGAGCAGCAGCGGCAGGTGTGGACAAGCAACCACGTTGTCCGAATCATTGCTTCCGCGCCCCATGGAAGGCTGCCATGTTTGCGGCCCGGCGAAACATGTGGGAAGCTGCAAACGCAGATTTCGCAGCGGCGGTGCTGATACAGGTGCTGAGCTCTGCTTTTCTTGCCAGTACATGAGAGTTGGGGATGATCTTCAGGAGTATCAGAGTGAACTAGAATTCGTAAGGCAAAGTAGCTGGTCTTTCTCAACAGGTTGAGAAAGACTTCGATCGTGGAAAGCGGCTGCAGGTGCAAGCCACGTTCGCCCCATGAAACGCTGGCATGTCCTAGTAACGTAGTTATACAATGTTATACAGACATACACAGGACTTGTTGAGTGGAAACTGAGGCAATGATTACCATGTTTCCTATCAGGCAGCTGCGGAATCCTTGAGGGATACGACACTGAGCAAGCAAAGGAGGCGAATGATGATGGCCTTGGTCGAGGCAGGTCCTTGTCTCGATGGGATTCGACTTGATTCTCCTAGGAGAGATCGGACGCTACTAGGGGCTCCTGGCATCGCTACTAGGAACAAGAAACTACTAGTGGCTCCTGGCCGTACTACTAGGAGCAATGTGCGCTACTAGGAACAAAGGATTACCCAACACGTTGGGATGCCCATCAACCAAAGATAACCAAAGCCTTCGCTCACAGCTTTAGTTCCGCACGCTCGTCAACCGACGATGAGTGCTGCTTTTGATGCTTTCACGTCACCACGCTTGCAGCACATCGGATGAAAAACGAAAGGAAAGCAAGGAAAGCTAGTGGGTGTTGCCCTAGGGACCTTCCTTGCCTGACAAAGTTATCCTTGAAAGACAAGAAGGAAAGAGGTTGCTTGATTCATGGTGCTTCATGGTGCTTCGTTCGTTCCTTGCTGCAATAATAGTAATGAGGTGTGGTTCATTTCACAGCTGACGAGGATGATCGATGTTGTTTTTGGCTGGCTACATGCATGAGGCAGAGCGCAAGAGACAGGCACCAATGATCCCCGGCATGGAGCGGGCTGCCTGGTGCCTCAGAAAATATTCTAGTCGAGTTGTTTCCACAAGGCTAAGTTGGGCTAAGAGAGCATTCTTGTGTATAGTGTCTCCAAGCAGTGCGGAGTAAAAACAAGTTGACGCAGATCGATTCAGGCCATGGCGGCTGCCGATGCAGACTCCGACGCCAGTCCCTCAATGATGACCTTTTGTGAAAAGAACATTGTGGGAGAAGTGAGGCATGGCAGAAGTATGTGGTTCATGCAGAGCGTCAGTACCTGAAGCTGATCAAGGAGGAGCGGAGACAACAGGATTCGTTGGTATTTGGTTTTATTCAGACGGAGCTCTTCACAAGCGGCACAAGCGCAAAGCAAAATCATTTGTTGGGCCCCACTCTGCAGGCGGAAGAAATGGAAACTCGAGCCATGCACTTGACAGCAGTTGATACGGTTGACAGGTGGGACGGTTGACACATCTGTGTGCAGCGTATGTGGGCTTTTAGCATTGATGCACTGCCCGGGCCAAGGCTATGGCCAAAGCAGAACGCGAGACCCGCAAAGCTGAGCAGGTGGGAGCTTTCCTTTAAGGGCACCTGCGATAGATCCATCATGATCCATCCAGTATTCAGCAGTAATTATATCGTCATCGGAAGGCCAAGCATCACAACGATGCCCCTGCATTGGGCCCGTAGTGGATGGTGCCGTTTAGATCCGTTTAGTATGGTTTGTATGTGCAAATCGGTAGGAATGAACTAGCTTGGCAGAAGTGGGATTCTCATGATAAAATACTGCGGGTTTTGTTCACTTCGACTTCCAGTGTGCCTTGCGCTCCAACATCATACTTCGTCATTTATGTGTTTCCCAAGTGCGAAGAGCGATGTTTTGAGATGATTTGCCCTCATGCATTTCATCCTGTGAGCACAGCCACAAGTTCCTCCATCACCGCCAGGCTCGCATCGATATGGAGCGACGCGATGCTCTCGGTTCTTCCTTTTTCTTCTTCAGGTTGGAAACATAGGGCAGATAGAGGGATTCTTACATTGGTGAGCAGTTCTACATCACAACAGGTCCTAGGACATGGCTGTTTTTGGTAAGAAAGATTGTTTTCATTTCATGAGAGGCTTGATTTAGAGCACAGCTTGGCTAAGTGCCTAAGGGCGGCTCCATCGTGAGTACAAGATGCGAGAGACAGAACGGGCTTCCATGAAAAAGGCTGACCAAGAGAGCCGTGTGGTGGGGAGCTTGCAAGAAGATGTCCCAGAAACGGCGAAGGACATATGCACAGGTGCATGTAAACTCCTTGTGCTTTTGTGCTTGGATGGAACCGTGACGAAACCTCTCAATACTAGGAAGAAGTTCCTTGCGGTTCCTGTTGCCGAGGTTGAGGCTGCCATCGCGCTTTCAGAAGAACGCCAACGCGAAGAATTTGAGCAGCTTTCTCGGACTTCTCCTTCAGTGAGAACACATACTGAATTGTGATTCGCCAAGGGCCGAACTCATGGAACGAGCTGAGGCTGGATCAGAGTTGAGTTCAATTTACATCAATAGTCCTTGACAAATATATAATAAAAATTAAACAGATGATCAAGACTGGAGTCATCATTCAGAACTAGCAGAAGAAAGATCAGCCTTTACATGCCATGGCCGATGCGGGCCCCAAAGCGGGCGTGACCCGGCAGCCGGGGACACCGGTCGGGTCGGAACGCCCGCGGCGCTCTGCTGCGTCTGCGTCCGCCTCGACCGGCCCTGCTGCTGAGGTGGACGATGACATGGGGCAGGTGGAGCATTGCCCGGTGTCGTCTTGCCACGCCAGCCGGGCTGATCTTCATGCAGGTTGGCAAAGCCTTGGCTCCCTTCGAGTGCATGTGGATGCCCATCTTCTGGGGGCCCTGCCGGGCATGCCACCCCAGCAGTGGCTGCAGCGTCACAACCTGGCCATATGTCCGCACTGTGGCCGGTCTGTCAGCCGTCGCTGCAATAGTGGTGTGCACCGCATTTGCGTGGAGCGATGGCTCGCTGGGGAACGCCGCGCCCTTTGGGATGAGGCGACTCGGGGGGGCCGGCCTGGACGTCGCCCTCGCCGTGGTGATGCCGAGGATGCCGATGCTGCCGCGCAGCGTCTCCGGCAGGCTGCTGACAGCTTTGCCCGTCGGGGCTCCCTGGGCAAGCGGTGCAACGCCTTTGCAGTGAAGGCCTTGCTCCAGACACCGCCCACACTGAGGGCATTATGCGCTCCAAGTTCCCTGCTGCGCCCGCCCAGCAGCACGCTTCTCGCCGACTGCCGGCGGCTGATGCCAATGAGCTCGGTGAAGAACAGGTGCTCGCGGCGCTTCGCAGCTTTAAGAAAGGGGTGGCTGCTGGACCCAGCGGGCTGCGCCCTGACTTTCTGCGGCAGCTCGCTTGTGATGGGCCAGATGCTCGTGCCTTCACGACTGTGCTGACTGGTTTGGTGAATTTGTTGGCTGGTGGGGGCGCACCTGTGGAGCTCCAACCTTACCTTGCCGGTGCCAAAGGCACTGCCTTGAAGAAGACGACTAAGTCTGGCGAGCCGGACGCTCGCCCCATTTGTTCGGGGGAGGCTCTACGCCGCTTGGTCGGGAAGGCGCTGCTGCGCACTGAGATGGACACTTTGCGGGAACACTTGCTGCCTTGCCAGCTTGCCGTTGGTGTGCCAGCTGGGGCTGAGGTCATGCCCCACCTGGCGAGGCAGTGGTGGCGGCGCTATGAGCAGGACACCTCCCGTATTCTCCTCACCTACGATGAAGGCAATGCTCACAATGTGGTTGACAGACACACGTTCCTTACTCGGATGCGTGAGGTCTGCCCTGGCTTGAGTCGGTGGCTTGAATACATATACCCCACAGCTCATCCCACCAAGGTCTTCTACAATTTGCATTGACAATTGGCCACTTTTCCATTGGGATGTAGCCCATCCGGGCAGCCCCGTGGTGGGATTGCCACCTTGGTCAATGTTGGGGAGCCTGACCGCGCCGTGTGAAGCTGCAACCTTGGCCCTCTGGAAACAAGCGGATGTGTGGTCTTCCTATGGATCGCTTGGGCCGCCATGCGCTCTCCTGCATGGCTGGTGGTGATGCCATCTTGGTACACAACACTGTGAGACATGTTGTACAGGACTATTGTGAACGAGCTGGGCTGCTTCGAGTGCTTACGCCGCCAGCAAACGTGCTCACCAACAGACGGCAGCCAAGTGTGCTGCGGCAGGCGTCTTCTACCAGCCCCTAGTTTTTGAAGCCCAGGGAGGGCTCTGCAGTGAAACTGGCAGTGTGTTGCATGCTCTTGCTCGTCGGGTTGGCGCTGCTGAGGAGTGCGACTCCGAGCTGGTGTTCGCCGACATGGTTCGCAAGATTGCCATTGTTCTCTGCCGGGCTGCGGCCCGCTCCTTGCAGCGCAGGCGGCGGACCTGGTTCCGGTCTCCTGGGCTGCTGCCGTGGCCGCTGTGGCGAGCTGATCGTCCATCACTGGTGTGACGAGTTGTTTTGGCTGGGTTGTTGCACTCCTGCCCTGGTGCCCTGGTTGTGGTGCATGGTTTGCGCTCTTGGTGGGTGGCCTGTTGGGATTCTGGCGCAGTGCATTGGCATGGTCCCTGCCGACCGGCAAGATCCAGTAATTCCGGAGACGGCGCAGTCCACTGCTTCTGAGCCTGCTTAGTTTCGTTTGTTGAGAACAGCACCTTTGGCCCCCAGCCTTTGCTGTGGATAGCCGACCCTTCGGTTGCATGGCAGTCGCTCGGGCCTTGGGAGGTCTCTTGCCGCCCCTGCGCTTTGAGCCCTGCTTCCCTTGTTCCGTGTGTACAGCATGCCTTTTCATGGATGTGGCACATAGTTGCCCCTGCTAGACTTCCCTTGTTTCACAGATGAGCCATTCCTGACAGATGATCATAGCCTCATAATGCCTCATAAAAATATGTTAGTGTTTTACTTTTTCCAACTTAGACAGTGATTGGAGCTTTCTTCCAAGTCCAGAGACGTGCATCATTTTGATGCCAGTCCCTCATGCTGTTTCTCAATTGTGCAAGCATATTCCCAACAGGACGAAGTGCATGAATTCTTGCAAGAGGAGAAGCGCAGAGAAGCAGATGAGAGCCTGCCTGAGCTCGCACAAGTCAGATGACGTCCACGTCGGTGAACATTTATACAGAGTGATAGAAGGATTTGCAACAACTGCAGGGCAATCTGACCAATTTTCTCAGCAACCTGGGGGTACCGGCTTTTGCTCGCCAAGGCGGCGAAGGATGGCGGCCGATGAGGCTGAGTTCTTCCGACGGCAGGAGGAGGTGGGCTGCGATTATGGGTGGCCACGCCGAAGCGGGGCGAAGCTCAGTCGGTCAGGAGAAGAAACGGAGGGCCGAAGAGGAGCGCAAGCAAAAGCTCGTCCGGGAATGGCGGAGGCGAGTGCCAAGAAAGGGTTTTGTTTCGCTCATCGAAAAAAGGTGACACAGCAAAGCGACGCCTAGCTTCTTGTTAGTACAGATCTAGGGTTACGGGATTGCACACTTCCACGTCGCCAGGAAACAGCAAGCTAGGAGAGTTGTGGCCTTAGACACAACCAGTCAACATGATGCCTCGACAAACCTTTGTTTTGCTTCAGGCATTGGACTCAGATGAGGACAGCTTGTGGCTGGTGGACATGGACTTGGACTTGTATGCCTTCAACGAGGGGTGATGGGTGACAGGAGCAATTGGAGCCAGAGGAAGATGAGGAGGACAAGGCGTGGTGAAACTTTTCCCAGAACTATTTCACTCTATTGGCACACTGCACTTTTCTGTTTCACTGGATTGTCCCAACTTGCAAGGCTCCAAAAGAGGAGGTACAAACGAAGCAAAAGGACTGGACCTTACACCGGCCAAAAGGCCGCCAGTTCGGCGTCAGCGTGGGCTTTGCCTTTTTTTTCAACCTCTCACATGTTTGTGAGCAACTTCAGTGATCTTCATTGTGTATGTTTGTATTATATGTATGTTATCACATCAATTTGGGTCATACGGCTCATGCGGGACACACGGGAATTTCAGGACAAAGAAGAAGAGCAACCTCCTCCAAAGGCTTTTGTTACTTGCCAGCTCTTGTTTCTGATTTTATTTGCTTGCTGAAGTTTAAGAGCTACTTATCTGCCAATAGTCTGTCCCTGTGTCCGTGCCTCTATCGAGTGTCTTGTCCAATCAAGGACATTGCCTGCAAGACAACTCTCAGATTCATAACTATGTAATTTGTCAAATGAGAAGTGGGTGAAGATGGACGAAAAGAATCAGACTTCAGTTGGTCAAGGGCCAAGGGGTCCATGCATCCGCCAGGCTGGAGCTCGAAATCCATTTGGACCTGTCACACCCAGGTCTCATGGTTGCATGTGGAGACGGCGGTTGGCAAGCTGCTTTGACTTTGAGTGGCTCTTCCGGTTTTCTCCTTTTCGTTTGTTGAAGGCACCACTTGGATGGTAGACCCTGACACAGGCAAGCTCCAGAGAAGACGAACTCGAAGGAGGACAAGGACAAGGCGATGTGAAGCGCAACACAGCGCAACAATGCTTTTCCTGGCCTTGCGCCATACCAGCAGCGTTTTGGCCAGTACACCAATTTCCAAGTAGGTTTAGTAGTGTAGTATTGTGACAGAGTGCATCATCACTTTGGTACCGCTCAGTAGTAGTACAATTTGGCAGGAGAACGATCTTGCGCGGGAAAGCAAGCGGGCCCGCAAAGAGGAGAAACGCAGGTGATCATGTTTGACCGAGCTGTGAAAAGACCTTTATTGGCAAAGTCCACATAGAGAGAGAGAGAGAGAGACGGTAGAGTCCGGTAGAGGCTATATAACAAATGATGCGAGAGATCCGACAACTGATAATCCAGAGTTCAATTGTTTGGCACGCAGCAGTGCCTGCCTTTGGCACACCATCTTGGGACTAGGCTGAAGGAGGAAGAGGCTGCAAAAAGGCGAAAGCGGGAGAAGGAGGCTGAGAGAAAGCCTGCAGTTTGGTGATTTGCTTGAGAGTCGGAAGGGTCTAGTACTGTAAGTGTAGTAGCACAGGGTAAAGAAATGTATAGAATGACTGGATGCACGCAAGCAATTGTACCAAGAGCAAACTGACGAGACCAGCTACTCACGGGAGGAAGCGGAAGCTGAATTGCAGCGCTTTGAGCAGGAGCTGTCAGAGCCAGTGGCTGTACTGGTAGAAGATTAGAAGATGTTTATCTAGCGATTCGGCGTTGAGCATTTTTAAGGAGCGTCCTTGCTCCTAGCAGTAAGGCCAGGAGCTCCTAGTAGCTTCTTGTTCCTAGTAGCGATGCCAGGAGCCGATAGTAGTAGGTCCTAGGGGTTCAAAAGAGTCATGAGCCATGATGACCTTGATGGTCTTTTGTCACCCTGAGCGCTGCTGACAATGGTGAGAGGGTGGTTTGGGAGATGTCAGAGATGTTTCAGCCTTGCTCTGGTTGTGGGGCAGAGCCCTTCAAGCAATATTGGCACACTTTTGAACTTGACGTTTTCTTGCTCCAACAGTTGAGATAGTGGCATGGCCAACGTTTGCGGAAGCGGGACAGGCATTTGAATGGATTCTTTCAACCGCTTGCAAGAGATGGCAATTCCCTTCTACACTCCCTTCATAATAGCTATTTTGAAGCACTCATGCAACCACGAAATGCAGAGCCCTCATGCAATTGCAGTGCAAATGCACTCGTGTTTTCTTTGTGTATTCTTCGGGCAGCTGAACCCTGAGGAGCTGCAGCGCCGCAACAACTTCCTGCTGCGGCGGCGTCAGCAAGAGGAGGATGATCAGCGCAAAGAGGTTGAGGCCAGCGGCGGTCAGCCTTGGCATTTTGAGTGTTTATGTCTCTACTTTCACTGGTCAGCTGGTGGTTTGAATTGATCTTTACTTGTGATATTGTGTGATTTAGGCGCAGCTGCAAGCTGCAAGAGAGGAGGAAGAACGTGCAGGGCATAATCTGAAGCAGTGACTCTGAGAAGACTGATCCTTTTGCTTTCCTTTCCGTTGCTACAGCGAAACTCTGACGATGGGCCATATCACTTTGCTCAGACTCTAAGGCAAGCAAAGAAAGGTGGAGATAGCGCGCTGGAGCCTCAACGAGTAGAACTGTGTATTCTTGCATGGCGCATCCTGTTGATAAGTCAGGCATGGTTCGAGAAGACAAACTACGGATGAAGTTTGAAGTGGAGGACAAACCACCTCCAAAGTTTTACACTGATTTGCTGTATGCACACATATAGTAAATTCGTTTACTATGTATATATATATATGATTATATATGATAGTGTGAAACGAAGGTCACGCACGAGAGCATCGTTGATCCCAATCATGACATGGCCATGTGGCCCAATGCACAGGGGCCGTAGCTGATCCCAACCTTTTCCAACTTTTGCTATGGCGTTGGAAAAGCGTGCGCCTTGCTGCTGAAGGTATCCACCATTTCACAGTGGTACCGCGGAGCTGAGGTGGACGTTCCAGGCCAGCTGAGCGATGAGCGGAGAAGATGAAGGAGAACACGAATCCCGTCGAGCCGCTGGGTATGCAGCAGAGAGCCGAGAGACCACGACCAGAGCAGCTGAGTTTCCGGCGAGGGACAGGGATCCCCCGCCTTCCTATGACGGCGACAACTACGAGGTCACCTTCCGGCAGTATGAGAAGCAGGTGGAGCTTTTGCTGCTGGAAACTGAGGTTCCCCGGGTCAAGCGAGGCATCAAGCTGCTCAGGCAGCTGAGCGGAGTGGCTGCCACGGCCGTGGACGACATGGAGGTGAAAGAGATCGCCAGTGAAGACGGTGTCCAAAACATCCTCTCAGGGACTACTTCGCGCCGCATCTTGAAGTCTCCCTTCCAAGGGCCTTTGAGACCGCGGTCTACGGGCCTCCACGGGGTTCCAAGGAGTCCTTCGCGGAGTACACCAAAAGAATGGATCGAGCCTTTCACCGGCTCGGTGTGGAGGGCGTCGAATTGCCCGACAGTGCACGCGGCTACATCATGTACCGCCAGGCCGCTTTGACGGAGGCTTAGGAGCAGCGCTTGTTGACGTGGTAGCAAGGCCGCTATGGGAGAAAGGAGATCACGAAATCCCTGAGGCGATTGGACAAGGTCCTCAAGGAGAAGGCGAAGGGCAGCTATGTGACCGAAGAGTCCTTCGTTCTTGAGAACCCGGTCGGTGACACCTACGACGAGGACCTCACCTACGCTGGATGGGAGGACGAGGACCCCGATTACATCTTCCTGGCGGAAGGGGACCTGGACGAGGTCATGGATGAGCAGGATGTCATGGCCGCTTTGGCCGCCTACCAAGACACGAGGCAGGCGCTCAAGGACCAGCGGCTCGGCAGGGGTTACTTTCCCGGGAAGGGGAAGGGCAAAGTCAATTCGTTCCAGAAAGGCAAGGAGAAGGGCAAGCGCAGAGTTCACATCGAGCAGCTGAAACTGAGAACGCGCTGCCGCCGGTGCCAACAGATCGGGCATTGGGAGAGAGAGTGCAAGAACGCTCCGGTGGCAAGGACAAGCAGTGAACCGGCCCGGACCTTCTTTGTAGGACTTCAGCCCGGCTCCGAGAGCGTCGAGTTTTCCAGTGAGTCGCAGCAATATTGGCTGCGCAACTTTGTGAAGGAGCGGAAGTCCCATTCGAGGCCCGCCACCGACAGTGAATCCGAGGAGGCATACATGGAGCGGGCATGTGTGTGCTTGGAGGGTTCGGAGAATTTTTGTGGCATCACCACCAAGTCGTTCGAGGGGATCGTCGATACCGCGGCCGAGGGCGGACTCGTGGGTCGAGCACCACTCGCACGGCTGGAGAAGGAGTTGTTGATGCGGGGGTTACGCATCAAATGGACCCCAAAGCAAACTTCAGCTAAGGGAGTCGGTGGCAACGCGGTGGTCGAGGGGGTCGCACTTATCCCATTGGGCATTGAAAGCATCAGAGGGGTGCTGGAGACCACGGTGGTGCAGGGAGACGTGCCCCTTCTACTACCAGTTCGTTTGTTGGTGACCCTGGCGGCCAAGATAGACCTCAAGAACATGATCATGGAGTTGCAAAACCACCAGGTTGAGGTTCCACTTCATCCCCTACCAAGCGGTCACGTCACGGTCAACATCCTCTCGTTCGCGGCCGGTCGATTCGATGTTCCTCGGGAAGCCGGGGAGCAATCCGAGTTTGAGGTGAATGCTTCGTGTTTCATGGCCACAGCCATGCCGGTTCAATCCGACGGCCATCAATTCGATTTGCGCCCAGACGCCCAAATCCCACCTTCATCCAATGGCGTCGCTGCTCCAGAAGGCGAAAGCACTGGTGGGAAGCCATCCTACGGTGGATCCAACACTGATGGAAGTGGGGCCCAAGGTTCTCAACCCAAGGGTACCCTTGAAACACTGGCGCATCATCCTGGACAAGATCGGCATTTTGCTGGTTTTGGCGGCTTTGCAAGACGCCACAGAGGCTTGGTGTTTGGAGCTGGGCTCGCAGCGGCAGGCACGCAGCTCGATGGACAGTATCGAGGACTACTATGCGGAGGTAATCATGCGTGCGCCCGCGCTCAAACCTCTGCAGAGCAAAACTGGACCGACCGCTTCCGCCAGCAGTTGCATTCGCCCGAAGAACCAGTTGAAGGGTGGTGGCAACGGTTCCAGTTTCTACATCGTGTGCAAAGCGTGCCATTCCAGGTGGGCCCATTCCGAACGGTCAGCCGATGTCCACAAGCTGCTGAAGCACGGCCCCTTGAGCATCAAACAGGGCAAGACCGAGGCGTCGTCGCCTACCAGGACCAGTGCCTTGGCTGCAGCCCCAGTGACTCCTCCGCGCTCGGAGGGACGCATGCTGGTCGATGCCATGTATGGCAGCCCCTCGACGGAAGGCTCGATGGCACTGGTCAAGGAGGACCTCCGAGTGGAGCTGAACACTCACATGCAGATGATCCTGCAGCAGCTCAAGAACGAGCAGGCAGCCTCCACGATCCAGATGTCTCAGTTCAACGCAGTGCAACTCCAGCAGATGTCCGACGAGCTGCGCAAAGCCACTCTGGCGAATCGAGAACAGGACCTCCGGCAAGAGAAGTTGATGCAGTTGATCATTCAGCAACAACAAGCCTCGCCGGCGCCCTCGACGCCGGGGAAGAAAGATCCAAGAGCAAGCTCGCGACGATTGCCCCCTCCGACTACCAAGAAGACCTGTCTGTGCGGGAAGCCTGCGGAAGCCCTGATCGTGAAGAAGGAGGGACCTCGGAAAGGCCGCGTGTTCTGGAAGTGCGTCCAACGCAAGTGCGACCTTTTCGAATGGATCAACGAGCAGGACCAGGCGGACATCGAGGAGGCGAAGACGGCGGCGTCATCATTGAACCCGAGGAGGTCCAAGAGCCCGAGAAGGGAGGCCTCGGCGTCGCCGGAGACGAGGAGAAGAGCAGCGGTGGCGACGATGGCGGTGTTGGGATCTGCGCCCAGCACCGACTGGACGAGGGTGAGCTATGCCGAGAGGACGCCGGTGGTCGATGTGTAGGACGACGAGTTCGACGGCTAGAAGAAGCGCCTGCCCTGACCAAGTGCTCCGGCTCCAAGGCAGTGAAGTGGGCCAAGAAAGCACAAGCTGGCGAGCACGTCTACCTGGCGGCCAAGCCAGGCTACTCGACGTGGCGAGAGGAGCTATGGACTCACTACGAGTCGGAGATCCCCGAGGACATCCCGGAGGTCTACGTGGAGGTCTACCTCAACCGACGTGGGCTACGTGAAGAGGAATGGGGAGAAGAAAAACAACGCCAGCTTAGCCGCAAGGAGCGGCGAGAACTCGCCAAGGCCATCAAGTCCGTGGAGAAGAAGTCCCAGGTGATTCTCGGAGAGATCTATAGTCCACCTCGGATTGCCTTACATCTGCAAAAGAAGGGCTACCAGGTTGGCAGCTCTTTTGATCTCCAGACCGGCTGGGACCTGTCACAGGACAATCACCGCCGACAAATGTGGAGGATTTTGCGAGAAGAGAGACCAGAGGTTCTGGTGGTGAGCCCACCATGCACAGCCTTTAGCCGCCTGCAGGCCATCAACTGGGGAAGAATGATGCCAGGCCATCAGGTGAGGCTACTCCAAACCGGCCGGGAGCATCTACAACTCGCAAGTGGCAGTGATGAAGTGGCAGTTGAACCGAGGTGGAGCCATCCTCTTTGAACACTCGGATGGGGCGAGCTCGTGGCAAGACCCCGGCATGCAGTCCTTGGCCGCCCGGAACGATGTCAAGACGGTGGTCTGCGACCAGTGCATGTTCGGGATGAACGTCGACGGCATGGGCTTGAACCGCAAGCGCACGAAGTGGCTGAGCAACATCCCGGAGGTGCTGGAAGCGCTTGACGTGGGGTGCGACGGCTCACATACTCACCGGGTCCTGGAAAACGGGCGGCCTAAACTGGCTCAGGTGTACCCAGAGGAGTTATGCCGGACAGTGGCCCAGGCTATCATCCGCTTCCACCACACCCGGAAGCTGGGGCACTACCCCGTTGAGCTGGACGAGGAGGAGGAAGAAGAGGGGCCGGGCCCAGAGATGCCGAGGGGAGAAGCTCCCGGGAACTATGAGCCGAGCGAGGAGGAGAAGAAGGCCATCATGAAGGTACATCGCTCGGTGGGGCACCCACATCAACAAGAGTTCATTCGCTTTCTTCGGGCAGCTCGGGTGCAAGGGGAGCTCATTCAATGGGCCTACAAACACTTCAAGTGCGATGTGTGTCAAGCTAACGCCCATCCAAAGGTCCCCAGGCCAACAGCCTTGCCGCGGGCCTATCAACCAAATAGAGTCATCGGCCTGGACCTCTTCTATGTGCCGTCACCTGGAGGGGGGAAGCAGACGACGCCGGTCCTGAACATCATCGACTGGGGCACCAACTACCAGATGTGCGAGCTCTTGGATGGAAAGAACCCCGCGGAAGTCTGGGGCGCATACCTCTCGACCTGGGCAAGAACGTTTGGACATCCAGAGGTTATCACCTGTGATGCCGGGCGAGAGTTTCTTGGAGAGTTTATTCAAAGGGCATCCTCGGAGGGCATCGTGGTCCATCAAATCGCCTCAAAGGCCCCTTGGCAACAAGGGGGGCCACTTCAAGGACCTGTTGAACAAGGTCCGGAGCGAGGTCGTGGTGCAAAGCCCGGAGGACTTGAAGAGGGTCATGGCGGAGGTGGAGATGACCAAGAACCGGTACTCCAACCGGTCGGGGTTTGCGCCGGTACAACGGCAGATCGGGCAGTGGCCGCGCTTGCCAACCTCCATCATGTCCGACGAGGCGGTCGACCCTACACTACTAGGAGGAGTTCTCACGGATGACCTGGAGAAGTTGCACCACATGCGGCGAGTGGCTCAGAAGGCCTTTTGTGAACACAACGCCAAGAACACCTACCAGAGATCGATGAGAGCCAGACCTCGGACCTGGACGAGTTACCAGCCGGGAGATACGTGTTTGTGTTCCGGGCCCCGAGATTGAAGAAAAGAAAACATGGAGCCGCAGTGGACGATATGAGTTCAACCACCCTTGGTGGAAGGGGGTCACGACGTTCTATATCAAGGACATCCAAGAAGTGACCACCTACCTGGCGGAGAAGAAGGGTCAAGACGAGGTGAACCTCAAGACCGAGAGCGCTCAAGACCTTGAAGAATGGAAGCAAGCTGACTTGAGCGAATGGAACAAGGTCACTCAGAGCGGGGCCAAAGTCTTGGGGCTTGAAGAGTCGCAACGGATCCGAAGAGAGCTGCAAGAACAAGGAAAAGGAGACAGGATCCTGCCCACCAAGATAGCCCGACGCTACAAACCTGGGGAACAACCAGGTGAACCAGCCACCAAGAAGTCCAGGCTGTGCATCAGAGGTGACTTGGACCCGGACATCCTAGAGTTGGAACGGTTCGCACCGACCCTGAACACCGTGAACTTCAACATCATGCTCCAAGTGGCCGCCAACGAGAACATGACAGCCACGGTCGGAGACCTCAAGAACGCTTTCTGCCAAAGCCAACCCCTGTGCCGACCAAACGGCCCACTATACTTCCAACAACCAAAGGAAGGAGTCATTGGCCTGCACCCGGACCAGATCGTGCAGATTGTCGCGGGCTGCTACGGGTTGGTGGACGCACCACTTCATTGGAGGAAATCATTGACAGAAGACCTCAAAGCCCTGGGCTATGAGATGTCTGCCTTGGACCCGTGCATCATGAAGCTCTACGACAAGAGCAGAAGGAGGCCGCTTGGGGCGATCGCCATTGAGGTGGATGACTTGTTCACTGTGGGGCACCAAGAGCACCATGAAAAGATGAAGCAGCTGCGCACCAAGTACACCTTTGGCAAGTACGTTGCCTTGCGAGAAGAGAAGGATGGATGTGCTTTCAACGGCCGACGCATTCGACAGCTGCCAGATGGTGGCTACCTGGTGGACACGCAGAAGTTCATCGAGGAGCGTTTGCGCCCAGTGGACTTGGAGAAGGGGCGCAAAAGCCAAAAGAAAGAACCGGCCACGCCGGAAGAGGTGAGCATGGCAAGAGCCACATGTGGGGCCCTCAACTGGCTGAGCCGCGAAGGGCGTCCCGATGCTTCGGGCCCTTCAAGCCTGATGGCCTCCAAGCTCTCAAAACTGACGGTGGAGGACCTGGTGCAGTTGAACCAGGTCGTGGACAACCTCAAAGAACATGCCGCCATGAGCCTGAAGATCCAACCCCTGAAGAAGATGAGGATGAGCGTGGTGACCGATGCCTCGTTCGCGAACAACGGCTTCCACTCCCAAGGGGGCCATTTGGTGTTGGCTCATGAACGAGAGCTCCGAGACGGACTACCAGCCCGGGCAAACATCATTGCCTGGAGGAGCGGCAAACTACAGAGGGTGGTGAATAGCACCTTGGCAGCTGAGACCCAGAGCCTCTCCCGAGGCTTAGCTGAGCTGATGTGGGTGATGGTGCTTGCGCAAGAGCTTCAAGATGGCACCTTCAACGTCAAGAAATGGCGCGACCGCCTGGAGAACGAAGAGCTGATGGTGATGAGCAGTGAGCGGAGTGAGAACACGCTCAAAGAAGCGTTGGCGGTAGTGGATGCGAAATCCCTTTACGACCACCTGTCAAAAGACACTTTGGGTGGTCAGGACCGCCGCACGGCGATCGAGATTCAAATCGTTCGCCAGGACTTGAAACAAGTCCAAGGTTGTGTCAAGTGGGTGCACCACCTCGCGATGCCAGCGGACGGACTCACCAAGGTGAGCGGGTCAAACAAGGCCCTCTACGAGCTCATCCAGTCCGGCATGTACAGCGTCCGGCCAGCCGAGGAGGAGATGGAGAACCGGGCAAAAGCCCAGGAAGAAGGCCAGACAAACTCCCAGCTGAGGAGGATTGGGATCAAAGAAAAAGGTAGGAACTGTGAAACGAAGGTCACGCACGAGAGCATCGTTGATCCCAATCATGACATGGCCATGTGGCCCAATGCACAGGGGCCGTAGCTGATCCCAACCTTTTCCAACTTTTGCTATGGTGTTGGAAAAGCGTGCGCCTTGCTGCTGAAGGTATCCACCATTTCACAGATAGTTATACAGATCTACATTGAATTTGTGATTGGTTCCTGGTTCCTTTGGTTGACAGGAGAGGAAGCAAGAAGCAGAGAAGCGAAAACGCGAGGAAGCTGAAAGAAGAAAGCAGGCAGGTGGGTAGATCCATTGCCGTCATGTGCTGAGTCTATGAAGTCCATGGATCAATGATCAAGGATGGCTGAATGGCAGGACCGAGCAGAGCGACGACGGAAGGAAGAGGCTCCTTGCTCGGAGTCGACTTGGAACTGTGTATGTGAATGCTACTAGTAGCTTCTTGTTACTAGTAGCGATGGCCTCCAACCTACTTGCGATGGCCTCCACCTAATAGCGTCCTTGCGTTTCTCTTTGGGCAGGAGCAGGAAAAACATGAGAGGGAAGAGCAGCTAAAAGCTTCAGCACGCTGCATGCGCCCTGAGGAGACTGCGAGGCTACCTGCCAAAAGACTATATAAACTTGAGTTGGAATTGTCATGTCCAGTGCAACAGCTGCTGCAGGCTTTTGCAAGCAAAAGAGCAGGCCTGGGCAGCAGTATTTGCATTTCCAATGCTTCTCGAAGATGCAGGTGCTCTTGAGTGGTGAGGTGCCAAATTTTGTGATCAAGCCACGTTCAGGAAATTGCGCGAATACAGGCGGAGCTTGCCAAGAAGAGGCTCTCTAAAGTTCTTACACTGGTTATACATAAAGCTTTAGCAAGTGTTTGGTACAGGAAAGAGGAGGCGATCAAGCGGCAACAGGAGGAGCGGATGAAAGGCCTTTGCAGTGAGAAAAGGTCACACGCCTCTCTCTCTCTCTCCCTCCTGCAATCTCCGCAATGCTGCATCTCACAATTAGGTGGCAGAAGCAGGTCGAAGTCATCATCTCCTGCGACATCTGCAAGCAGGCTTTGTTTCCAAGGATTCCAGCCTTTGTCCCAGTCCATCTCGTGTGTCGTGCTGTGCCCAGGTGTCAAGAGAAGTCAAGCAGCAGCCCATCCGCTGTTGGACACTCATTTATTCACTCATTTATTCAAGAATGTTCGGGACAACCCCGATGCTTTTTTTGCAAAGCCAGGACTTCAGAGGTGAAACGCACAGACTGTACGCTGCTCCTCTATAGAGTTCAAGAGAGAGGGGCAGCTTTGTCGCTTCTTTAAAGTTGGCTCTGTCCGCACCGTGCTTCGTCCTTTCAGATGAAGCGTTCGCTCCAAGGCCCGGAAGCGCCGCCGAGTGTCGAAGCGGCGCAAGGGTCGATCTCCTAGTCGATCCCGACGAAATGAGAAGCCAAGAGCTGAGAAAGCTGAGAGTTTGGAAGGGGATCGGTTTGAGGAATAGTGCAACGGGAGGGCAATTAGGGATTCAATGCAACTCTGTCAGCATTCATTGGTGATATGACCCTGGCGGTGTAAACCCTACTCAGAGAGTAACTGCCACCATTTAGAGCACTGAAAAGAGAACGTATTTCTTTCTGCAAGGTGATTTCCATGTTTTCTGTGCAGCAGGGCACAGCCAAGCAGCCAAGCCTCTAAGCATGTGCGGCCGCTAAGGCGAAGAAAGCATCGCAATCGTAGCAGAAGTTCCAGCTCAAGTGGCAGACGAAGAAAACATTTGTGCAGACTTCTTTGCTGATGGTTATCTCCGTATGTGCTGCTGCCTGCACACATCAAATTGAATGTAAGCCTTTGTTTCCTGTGCAATTCACAATTTCTACTACAACTCTTGTATTACATGAATAGATTCATGCTTCTTACCATGCATATCGGACAAGCAATGGCACTGGCACGTTGCAGCAATTTGGCTTTACATACGAACTAGAATTTCCAAATTTTGACCGCAGGAATACGCTTTAAAATTGTGATTCTGTCAGCGCATACATATGAACATTGTGCACAATTGCACAACTGCATCCAAGAAGGGGTTGATTTGAGGTTTGGATGGGACAAAAGGGGAAAATAGAAATGATATGGAGGAAGGGAATGATTTTCGAAAATTTAAACCGGAATACAAAGGAATAACACAAAAAAATAGGCAATTGGAAAGATATTGATGTTAATAGAAATCAATACAATTATAAAAAGAAAAATAGATCTAAATTAATAGAAATTTAATTAAAGGCTTACGCCTAACAGCCGGGCGCCGGCCCACTGGGTCTGTGGGGCGTATGTCACGCCTATGTTGGCCTTGGTGGGGCCTATATTGAGCAAAGTTAAGCTATCTGGTGCGCATCTTGGCCCTAGGTTGGGCTAAGTTGCACATCTTGGGCCCATGTTGAGCCCATGTTGGGCTTATGTTGGCCTATGTTAGGCCTATGTTGGCCTATGTTGGCCTAGGTTGGGCCTATGTTGGGCCTATGTTGGCGTATGTTGGCCCCATGTTGGCCCAATGTTGGCCTATGTTGGCCTCATGTTGAGCCATCTTGGAGGCTATGTTGGGCATATGTTGGGGATATGTTGGCTATCTTGGGCCTATGTTGAGGATATGTTAGGAAATGTAAGTCGTCTGGAGGGCCTCTACCCACAAAATGTCGATTAAGCCTGTCCGCCGGGCCCGCATTACCGACACCACCCTTGAAAAGCATAGCATTTTTGCATTTTTCCATTTCTCCCGCGTCGTACTTCGATATGCGCAATAAACCCTGTAAAACACAGTGTTTTTTATACCTCACACACACGATACACTGTAAATTACAGGGGCTTCAGTGACCCGGTGGTCCCCCCGTTTTGGTGACGAGGGTCGGCGGCAGCTAGGGCCAGCGTCTATAACCTTCGGTTACCACCGAAGGCCCTCCGGGCATGCTACGGGCGTCCTGGCCGGCGCCCGGATTTAAGGGCTGCCGCCCTGCCGCCGACCCCGGGACAGGCATAGCAGTCATCATGAGCACACTAGTACTACTACTACTACTACGACGACGACTATTACTACTACTACTATTACTATATTACTACTACTACTACTACTATTGCTACTACCACCACTACCACTACTACTATTATTACTACTACTACGATGACTATTACTGCTACTACTATTACTACTACTATTACTACCACTACTACTACTACGACTAGTACTGATGACCACTACCACTACCATTAGCAGTGCCACTATTAGACAACAACAACAACAACAACTACTACTATTATTAACTACTACTACTACTACTACTACTAGTATTACGAGTACTACTACTACTACTACTATTAATACCACTACTACTACTACTACCACTACCACGATTACTACTACTACTACTATTATTACTACTATTACTACCACCACTACGAGTACTACTATTATTTCTACTAGTACGATTAGTATTACTAGTACTACTACTACTACTATTATTACTTTTACCACTACTACTACTACTATTATTATTACTACTACTACTACTAGTATTACTACTGCCGCTACTACTATCACTACCACTAATACTACGAGTACTATTACTATTATTACTACTACTACGACGACGACGACTACTACTATTACTACGACGACGACTTCGACTTCTACTTCTACTACAACCAGTCCTGCTACGTTTCTATTGGGGTTAGATGTAAGATGTAGCCGGCTTCTGCAGGCGTATAAGTTTATCCTGCCACATCTGACTTCCTGCCCATTCTTGCGAAGAAACGGATTTACGCAAAAGAAATGGGAGTTCGCGCTTGTACCAAGAGGGTGGTAATTGAGGCTCCTGATATCTATTGCCTTGCTGAATACGGAAACTCTTTGAGAGAAAACAGCATAACCAAAACAAACTATACAGTTGCAAACATCATTATATATATGTGTTTGCAAAGTTGACGGAACATGTATATTTTTCAGTTATGCATTCTGCCAAAGACTTCATAAGAGAGAAAAACAACAAATTGCAATGGCGCGCTATTAGAGGAACAAGAACGCTATTAGGGTCTCCTGGCAGCGCTCTGAGCATGCTTATTCTTAATAATAATCCTTAAAGACCCCGACGTAGCAAGATCAGTCCAAAGGGCTGCATGGCCTCGAACTTAATAGCAAAAGGAAGCTAATAGGAATGGCCTCCAACCCAGTAGCCTGTAGCTACTAGTAGTAATGGCACGGTGCTATCGTTGACGTGTAAGGCAACGCCGATCCCATTGCCGTATACGTCGGAATGACGCGTTGCCGCTCTCGACAAAAACTACTCATCTACCGCCCTTTTCCTCTGGCGCCTTTGCAAGCAGGTCTGCCATTGGGACGGCAGCTGTTGCTGGACGTCTGGAAACAAGAACGAATTGACTGGGATGCCCTGCGCAAGAAATATCTCGATGAGAGACCATGCATGGAGTACAATGAAAGCAAACGGAAAAGACGGTTTCACAAAGGGCCAACGGCGCCGCGATAGCTATCGTGTCTGCAAAGAGTGCACAGCGCACAAACGTGACGCAGGCACACCGTATCGTTGCAGCCAATGTGGTGTCTGGCACGCCGCCAGCCACTTTCCCTCCAAGCATCTGAATCCACGCTGGAGTTCATACCGCATCTGTTTCTCCTGTGAAGCCAAAAAGCAATGCCTCGTGTGCCAGAAAAGTCTAATCAAAGAGTGTTTTAGCGCTGCTGCGTGGCGATGTAAACAGGGCCGCCGAAAGTGCCTTACCTGTCAACGCAAAACTCGTGGCTTTTGGACGTGTGCTGGCTGTCAGCAACGAAAACAACGAGACCAATACCGTACCTTCCTGCGTCGGCGTCCCTCAGGAGAGGATGGCCACCAGATGTGTGACGCATGTTACACAAGACAACCGTAGCGTCGCAAACGCCAGCGTATCCCATCTAAGTGCAACGCGCGTATAGCGTCGCTGCATCAACGAATCCACCAAGAACACATCCTGCAAGAAATCAAAGACCTCATCGCCAGTGAAGTCCACGCGCGCAAACGTCTGGGTCTGGCTCAGACGGCCCCCGGCGCACAGGAACCCACCGCCGCAAAGCGGCCCAAACAAAGCGCAAGTGTTGTGGCGCCACACCCGAAACCAAACAGTTCCATCGAGCCACCGCAGAGCACAGTCCCGCACAGTAGGCGTCAAACAAAACGCCAAACCACGACAGAGAAGCTCCCTAAACCACAATCCAAAAAAGGAAAACACACCACGACAAGCGCGCAGCCACACGCGCCCACACATGGCCGCGCATTCGATCCGGATCGTGGCAGTGAGGTCAAAGTGGAGCCGACAAGGCTGTATGAATACGTCTGCCCACGTTGCAACTGTCCACGCCGCAGTGGGGTACAAACTAGCCAAGTCCACCATCGAGGAAAGTGCAGCCACACATTTCGTGTCTTGGACGGTATAGTTGCTGGTCGCCGACACGAGCACAATTGTCCAAGATGTGGTGCGCGCGTGTTGTCAGCCAAGCCCAATGGACGAATTCAAGTCAAACACCGCACATCCAACGGCAAGGCTTGTTCTTGGGAGGCATGGACTGTTGAGGCATAAAAACATGGTGCATTCTGTACCGGAACATCAGAAAAATCGTCATCCCCAATCGAGCCTTGCTTTCTACTCCTGGCATTTATACTCCTCAACGCGCTCGTAGCCGCACTGCTGCAAAAGTGCACAACCAGAGGAGGGCCAAGCCCCAGAAGCCCCATCGTTGTCGTGGAGGTCGTGGGAAGGGCCCCCGCCTGGGTTAACAAAAACCCCACGACGTCCCACGACCGAGGAAGCGACAACGATGCCCAGGCGGAGGGGGAAGCCCCCCCGGCAAAGGGCCAACAATTGCCACAACACTGACTCTCGAAAATCTTGACCAGGTTCATGTTGAGCCACATAGCCTAAACTCTGGTCCAAAACAAGCCTCCCCTGGTCGCACTTTCGATGCCAAACGCTGCTTCTGGATCCTTAAAAAACAAAGATATTTTTCTTCAATTTTTCTCGCGCATCCTGGCCCCGAACACCTAGTAGCGCCACAGCTTTGCCCCATCTAATTCTGATCCAAAACGAGCCTCCCCTGGTCACACTTTCGATGCCAAACGCTGCTTCTGGATCCTTAGAGAACAAAGATATTTTTCTTCAAGTTTTCTCGCGCATCCTGGCCCCGAACACCTGGTGCCGCCACGGCTTT